TGTTTGTGTTAGTTTTGTTTGTATATATATATATATATATATATATATATATATATACACACGCGCGCGCGCTCGCGTACATACACACATATATAGGATGCATATATATTGTCGAAACAAGCTTGTTTTCAAATGTCCCGTGAATAACATAATTGTGTTTGGTTCGATTTGAATTCGTTTGTGCATTTCAGCTTGTGTTTGGCTTGAAATCAGCTAGAACGATTTTAAAAATTATATAATATAACATTTTTTTTTCGATACAACATAAAAAATTAATATAAAAATGTTATAATAATGCTATTTATTTAACTCTTTAATCAAGCAAAATATATTCATGTTCTGCTTGTTTATAAAACGACTTCAAAATATTTGTTCGTTCTCTGCTTGCTTGCTTAACGAACAAAACAAAGTGCTACTTAGCTTGGGGGACTTGAGTTATTTACAAATTATGAACATAAACTTTTTTAACAAACAAAACAAAGAGCTACTTAGAGGGTCAAACACGGGATGTTTATGAACGATAAACTTTTTTGACAGCCCTAATGTGCACAATGCCTCATTTAAATATTAATATTATGAGAATCGACTTGGAAGCAGAATGTTTTTCTTATATTTCTGCGTAGAAATTTGTCTTTTATATTTGCTTATCGAGTTATATTCATGTGGAAGGGTCTCATTATTTCTGGTTGTAACAGGTATTATCTCCTTGTGGATTAGGGGACATTATCTGTGGTAGAGCAAGAGAATGGGCGTCTAACGGCACAGAACTGTGCCACCTTGCAGGTTTTGCTGTGAAGCAAGATAAATTTAGCAACAATGATGTTGATGTGCAATATTGTTATGGAGGAAAAGCAAGCATAGAATCAATTTCTAGTTCTTGGAAGGTTTCTCAATCTGGTTTAAGTTCTGGGGATCAGTCTTATGGAGTCCTTCAAGATTTTCAGCAGTGGTTTAGTAAACTTCCACCGAATGAGAAGGTCAAGTGGGCTATTGGAGGGATGGTGCTCACTTCTGGGCTCCTTTATATGAGGTTTCTGATGCTAAAACTTTAGGTGTTTTTTATATATAAGCTACATTTTTTGTAGGCAGTTTTTACTTGTTTAGGGCTCTTTTTTACTCTTATTGACACCACGACCTTTATTTTAGCGCTTCTTAGTTTATAGCTTGCTCTCATCTTTATCAATAACGCAGTTGTTGAATTCAAAAGTGTTCGGGAAACAAACCCAAGAAGTAGAACATTCTGCTTGGAAGTGGAGAGAGAGCACAGTATGAGACAGTAAAAGAGTGTCATTTATTAATGGCATGGACTCTTATTTATAAACATAGGTTCCAACATTACAAAAGTATATATTAGCCCTCTCATTATTATTTTTTCAGGGGACTTTTTTGACAATTACAGAGTTATTCACATATAATAAGACTGAAGACTGATTCGATCGATGAAAGTTTCTGATCGTCTAGTATGCCTTGACTTGATCGATATCTAATCTGAAAGAGAGCCTCTTGTCGATCGTCTTGAGGACTGATCCCTACTCATGCAGAACATCTCCTGACACGTTCCGCCGATCGTTCAGACAAGACACCTCACTTGCCAACATCCAGCTTAAGACGTTCGTCAGCAACTATGCCTGATCGTCAATGTCATCCTCCTGTGCCGTTTATCTACCTCGAGATTTGTGCCGACATATTTTTATATGTACATATTCAACTTTCTGATTCTCTTGTTCCTTGAAAGCCGCATAACACACAAGGATAGACAATTTTTTTAAATTACATGAAATAATTAAATGCATTATTGCACAATAAAGGATTTGGATTTTTGTGCCCGAATCATTATAAATAGGCCTTAGGGCAAGGAGGCTTTGCGTCGTTTCTTTTTCTTCCCTCTTCTTTAGTCTTCTATCTCTTCTTTTTCGTGGCTGCCATGTGTCTGGTGAGGGAGCGCCATCAGCCTATAAAAACGCCATCCTCAAAGCAATGAGTGATATGCGGGCGAAGGCTTGTAAACCCAATGCGTAGAGAAAACCAACAGGCGAGGCTTCTGTGGTAGATTTGGGCAAGAAGCAAATTGTTGTGGGTCACGAGCAAGGGGAAATGAAGATAGAATTGGGTTTTTCGGGTTTTGTGTAGGTCCATCACAGGGAGAGTTGCGGAGGAGGTTGAAAGGCAAACCGACGATCGTCTTTCAGGACACCCATTGAGGCAACCACTCCTGCCCAAAGGGGAGGAATATATGTTCACACTGCCGCGGCGACTATGACTCCCCTAGAGTTCGGGAAGCTGCCGACTGAAGCTGGGGCTCAACCTCAGCTACAAAACAATGGCTTTTTCTCGATGGGTGGAGGACTTTAGGAGACCGCTGATGACTTCATCTCTTACACCACTTCTGAATGGTATCAATTTTTGGGTTTGTAGATTGAATAATGCTTTTTGTATTCCTTTTGCAGTGCAGGAGCTCTGAATATCGCTTATACTTCCTCAGACACTGACGCCGACCCTAAGGGCGATATGGCCTCTGTGGTTCATGCCGAGGAGAGGGGAGAGAATACTAAGGAGCAGATTGCTTTGGAACAAGGGACCATGTAGCGGGGCATTGTGGAGCCAGACGTTGTGGTCCAGAGGAATCCCTTGGGCGGAGGCAGGAGTGTGGGCGGCCAAATTCCTCCTAGCGCGGCAGCGAAGGAGGCGACACCTTGGGGGTGTCGGGTGTATGCCAACTTTCTGGTGCGCCGCCACCTTGCTGAAATGGAAGAGTGCTTTAATTGTCTCATAGTACAACCTCAGGTGGATAACGATGATGGAGTTGCTGAGTTCTTGGAGCTAGTCGATCGTGTAGAGAAAGAAGTCGCTGCACTTTCTGAGGAAGTTGTTTTCGAGTGGAGATGCCGGTTGGTCTTGTGGAGATGACTCGGCTGTATCAGGAGCTGTCGGTTGTTAGAGAGGGTTTTGCTGCCCAATTGAGGGATAGTCAGAATTACCCCTTTTAAGTTGGGAGGCGAGTTTATGTATGAGCGGCTGCGTCAAAGGGGTTTGTCCCGGACGAAGCCACAAACGACCGCTTAGTTAGTTTTTTCCTCTCCTAGCTGTATCCGAGGGTGTGGTGAGATGCTCCCTCATTTTGTAAATAAATGAATATATAAAATACGAATTTTCTATTTATGGTAATGTTTGCTTCTCCTCAAGTACTGCACGGCTCTTGTCGCATCAATCTTGTCAGAGGCGTTTCGTTTTTCCTTGCTAATGTGATATATATATTTATATATATATATAAAATAAATATATATGATTAGGATAGAGCATTGTGGCCTTTTTTTTGTGACTATTTTCTCCCCCTTATTCTTCTTCTCCCCTCCTCCCTTCTGCATTGCCACTGAACGTATGGGGCAGAAATACTTCCAAGAATTGTTTGGGTTGATTCCAGCCTCAGAAGTCTCGATTTTCTCTGCGATAGAAGTGAGGGAGATTTAAAGTCTCTGCATTTATGACAGTCGCCAACCATGAGCGGGCGACATACCATTTCTTTTCAGATTTGATTTTCTATAAAGATCAGTTTAAATGGTTCTTCGTCTGCTGCTTTGTAAGCAAAATTTGATCAATTTTTGGATGGTAAGAGGTTATTCCTGCCCAAGCTCTTTACAACTCCGTGGCCTTCATAATGGCTTTCGTCTTCTTTTGCTGAAGGATGAAGATCCCTTGGTCGCTCGAATTGTTCAACCACCTCTTCTTCTTCTGAATATGCTGGAACGACTATGCTCAATTTGTCTTCGGTTCCAAGATCCGTTTGGTGGAACTTGAGAATAAGATAAAAGATTGGTAAGCGAAATTCTTGGTGGACTCTTGCACTAGTGGCTGGGGATCGGTACTGTTCCAGTGGAAAACGAGATAAAGAAAGTGAATACTTTCGTGTAATCTCAGAGGTCAGATGGCGCTATTCGAGGGTCAGTGTCTCTGACACTCGGGAAGTGAGATCCGACGATGACGAGACCATGGCTGAAGGATTATGGGTGTCATCTGACGTTTGAGAAGCGGCCATAGAGAAGGTCGCCGAAAAAAGAGCGGGTTCGAAGAAACATCGGGGGAAAAGTGATCCTTGTTTGGGAGAGATGAGGGTTGGTCTGTCCCCACTGGATTGACGGAAGAATGTACTGAAGGTAAACATATCTTCCTCATTTTAGTTGCTTGTATATATCAATATATGTTTATATTGTTTTGGCATTATTTGAAGGGAGCGGCGAGGATGTTCTCGAGACTCATGGTGTATCGGATTTTGGGATTTCCACCGTGACGACTCCTGGTGGGACTTCGTTCGTGGGATTCGACCATCCTTTATACGGATCTAAGATCGGTATCTTGAACTTCTCAGAAGGTTCAACTCCAAAGACCTATAGGGAGAAGGCGTTTTCCGACGGCCTTTGTACCTTGGTCAGCACTGATCGTTTTTCTCTCTTCCACGGGGGCAGATCCGACACTGTCTTTGTATAGACCGTCTTCGGGCTTTTCCTGCAGGTGGATCACCCTCTTTCCATTGTTGGCTGGTGGTTCTTGTCATGCTGACTCTTCTCTTGGAACTAGGGCCATTGCTTGGGCAACGACTGCCCTAAATACTTTTGCGAACTGTCCTGATATCTGGTTGTGATTTGAGTTCTCAAATCTTGCAAGTCTTGTTGAATGAATTATTCCATAAACTGTTGGGTGCATGTTGTTCTCAAATCTTACCGCACCTTAAAAGATGTTGAATCTAAAAGTGTTCGGATAACACATTCAATGAATAAAATGTTCTGCTAGGAAGTGATGCAAGAGAGAGAGATAAAGAGGGAGGGGTGAGAGTAAATGGGAAAAAAATTTCGTACGTAAGACGTACGTAGCGCTGCGTACGTCAGGGTTAGACAGAGTCACAGAGGGTATTTGGGGGTTATATCCGGGATATACCCTCTGTAACTTCCCTCTAACATACCTGTAAACTACCTGTACCTTATAGTAAGTTCCACGCTTCTGTTTTCAAATATTTGTAGGTTATAGGTGGGTTATAGGCTCCCCAATACCCTTTATATAACTGTGACGTAAGCAAATTTTTTCCCAGTAAAAGAGTGTTCTTTATTCATGACGCAGACCCTTTATTTATTGGCATAAGTCCCAAAATTACCAAAGTACATATTAGTCTCATCATTATTAATCTTTTAGAGGTATTTTTTGTGTGGTAATTGCAGAGTTATTCACATATAATAAGATCTGAGACTGATTCGATCGACGAGAGTTGCCGATTGTCTGGTATGCTTTGACTTGATTGATATCTAATGAGCGTTTTTTGTCGATCATCTTGAGTAATGATCCCCGCTCTGCGGAACATCTCCTGTCACATTCCGTCTATTGTTCAAACAAGACGTCTTCTTTGCCAACATCCAGGTCAAGATGGTCATCAATAGCTATGCTCCATCGTCAATGTCATCCTCCTAAGTCGTTTATTTGCCTTGAGATTTGTGCTGACATATTTTTATATGTACAGGAGCAAAATAAATAGATACAGCCGAAGGCAGAAACAAGCTGCAGTTCTTCGCATTGGTAGAAAGAGGGAAGCAAGGATCGTTAATCAGCCTATCAGCACAAGGAAATAGATAATACGGAAATTATATCGAGAAGTCAACTATTTCTCCTCCAAAACAGCAAACTAAATCATTTTCTTCTTCTCTGTTACTCCTGTTGGCATAAAACTTGGAAGTTGGAATTTACTTCTTATTTGCAGTCGTAATGTTCGCAACACTCCTCTGTCAATATTATTTGGCACTTTCTTTTCTTGTACTCATGAGAGTATGGTTTTGATTGTTACTTCGTGTTATTGACCCATACTAAGAATGTATTTAGAGCTGTTATTCCACAATTTTTTTCACCCATTGTTATCATATTTTTGTTTAAATATTACCATTTTGTTATTTTTGAAAAGTTTCTGCGATGAACAAGCATTTTACAACCAGACCTGCCAAAGTGTGGCAGTGCAAGAAAGCTGTCTTAATTAGCTGTCTTAATTTATCTGCG